CCCCCCCCCCCCCCCCTTTTTTTTGAGCATTCTGAATTCAGGTGGGCTGTATCTCCTGATCTCACTGGAAAACTGAACGATTTTACAAGGTAAATCATACAAAACATACAATTTTGAGGAAAGAAGCATGAAGGTTCACCCCTAAACATAACTGTCACTGGGGCATAAGATCATATGAAAACATATGATCCACCAATTTGCCAAAATGTAAAACAGTTATGCGAGATGCCGTTTTTTGGCATTGCTTACTCAATCTCTCAAAATACCTTTTCTCTTCAAACGAGTCTTCCAAATGCCTAAATAATCTGAATAAATCATTCATTTCCTGTGGTTCAAAATTTTGCACATATTTAATATTTCATAGACCAGAGCCACTAGTGCAAGGATGAAACACTTATATTTAGTTTTTGTCCTGAACTATTTTTAAACCATACTTCTCCAAAAAAAAAGAATTCTCTTCTCTTCTACCGAAAGCTGTATTAATGACACAATACTGTTAGGATGTATATATATATAACTGTTAGGATGACTGTATGAATCTGTACGCATCTTCTGATATAACATTAGGTTTATATTTATCCGTCTGAAAACATGAGACCAAAGGAAAGGACATGAGCTGACAGTCCTGCTTCTAGATTTGAGCATTTCAGATGCTCTAATAATAAAACAGAAGTCAATCCACCTTTCATGTGCAGAAAATAATGTTCAACACTTTGTAGAAAACCTAAAAAAGGTGTTGATTTTGAGACCTGCCACATTGTGATCAAACTCAGATGAGTGTTATTTTAGATACTTTTCATGGACATACTGCAATATTGCGTTGAGGATGTTAAAGAGTCAAATCACAGGTATCAGACATGAATTTCAGTCGAGGTTTGGCAGTTAATTCATGATTTAACATTCTTTAAAAAAAAACATTCTTCATTCTTAATTCTTAGCAAGTCAAAGAGCGTTATGATGGATACAATCAAGTAATCTGGAATGTAACGATTCCTATATTGCAGGAACGCTAATCTCTAATCTTGCTAATACATTAAGGCAAAATGGAACTTGCAACATTTCACTTCTTTTGGACTGATGCACTGCAACACCCGCTGACTGCCATTAAACAGCTTGGAAGATCAAAGACAATTTTTAATATAACTCTGATTGGATTCGTCTGAAAGAAGAAAGTCATATAAACCTAGGATGCCTTGACGGTGAGTAATTCATGGGCTAATTTTCATTTTTGGGTGAACTAACCTTTTATGGTCTTTTAAGAACTCGTTTTTGAAAATTTGCTCATTGTGACTCGTTTTGCCAGAACAGGTCACAAATGGGTTTTTGTGTAGTTTAAAGTATCTTGTATTGGTGCTCTTTAAAAAAAGAAAAAAAAAAAAGGTCTATTTCAGTTATTATACGGGTTGGTATTGTTTTGGTGAATGTCTGTTTGTCAGATTATAAAAAGTATGCCCCTACGAAAATGAAAACGCTGTTCAGAATTGGGCTGAATGCGGTTTTTACCGGGGGAACCCCCTCAAAATGCAGTTGGGCTTGGGCTAGTTTTGCGTAGTAATTGGGCGGGATTTGTTGTGAAAACCTGGCAACCCTGAATGAAAAGCCCCCACCCCCCACCTATTTCCCCTATGGTTGCGTCCGAAAACTAAAAGTCGAATCCAAATTCTGCTTCACTTCCTGTCTCCGGAGGTACCTTCCTCTGATCGAATTTTGAAGGCAGCACAGATGTATCCTTCGCTACCTTTGATATCCCACAATCCTGTGCGTTCCATTCCGTGACGGTTGAGCTAAAAAATAAAGACGGCATCTGAAAGTTGCGTTTGGTGTTTTGATGTTATTTCTAGCGAGAAATCAGTATTATAGTAATGAAACATTCGTTTAGTTATCACCAAAACTCGTTCTATTTTGGTGTAGATCATTAAACCATTACGCTGCCTCAGAAACCTCTCCGAAATCAGTTTCATGAGGTGCCTTCGTACAAAAACGCTGCCTGCAAAGTCATTGCCTCATACGGCAGCAAGTCAGCTGCCTAAGTTTTCGGATGCAGCCTATGTTGAGGAGGGGTCCGGTTTCCCGCGTTTGCCTTTACACCCGGTCCAAGCGTGCGCTGGCGCCTCACCCCAGGGTGTGCATGAGCAAACTGGGTGCCTGTAACCAGATGCTGCTCCGCGGCACAACGGAAGCAGACTGAGTCCTTCACGGGAATTGCGCTTAGCTTACACAACCCGCGAAGTCCTATGCACAGACTCGCAGAATGAAGCTTCACGAAGAAACTTCACTCGACTGTTGGTATTGAACTGCGAATCACTGTGACGTCACTGCGAGCAGCCGGTGTCGTGCCGAAAACTGATTGCCGTCTGTAATCACTTTTTGGCAAGTCTAAAACTGCAGGTGAAAAGGTAAAAACTGGTAAAAAGGACTGCATGAGCTAAATGACTTGATTGCATTCATGAGGCTTATATTTGACAGATTATAGCTCATGCAGTCTTTTGTTGAAATACTTTAAAACCCATAAAATGCAGTTTTACACTTGCCAAAAAATGATTACAATCTGCAGACGATCAATTTCCGGAACAACACCGGTCTCTTCCTGAGCGCTGCTTACATAGTTTAGAAGAGAACCAAAGGGTTTTGTATATTTATATACTTATTTTTATTCACCTATTTCATTTTTATTATCTGTGTCTTGTCGCTGTCATTCTGTCTGTGCACTGGAAATGAGACCGCAGCTCATTATAGTCAACACAAATATCCCTCAAAATATATCTTTGATTAAGATGTGTTTGCCCAAGTTCAGCAATTAGAGCTCATTAGACAAAATGTGCCCTCTGTAAACCAGTTGGAAAAATATTTGCTGAATAGGTCTAAGAAGTTAAATAGTTGAAGAAAGAATGAACTAAACGAAGGCTGAATGAAAGCAGAGACTGAAAATAAAGAGATTGAAGAGTGTAAATGTGGTTGGGCAAGATATCGAAAAAGCTGTGATAACCGTTAAACGCTATAAGCCCAAAGGAATAAAAAAACCAGCATGGTTTTTGTGCAGTTCAGCTTTATTTATAAAGCACTTTTAACAATGGAGACGTCTCTTTATAAGCAGCTTTTCAGGAAATCCGTCCAAACACAAACTCCCAGAGAAATCGGTCTCTTCAGACTGATACATGAAGTAATGAGAGGAGAGTTAGTGATCAATATTTACTCGTCTGTCAATATTTATAACCTTTGTTTGTTTGTTTTTTAATTCCTTGGCGGAAACTGGCTTCCATACGTTTCAATAGAATCCACGCCATCGGGAATTTAATGTGAAGGCGTGATACTGAATTTGTGTCGAAAACATCCAGTAAATTCAAAATAAATTAGAAAATTTCATGTGAAAGGGAAAGATTCCCCTAATCATATTCCCCAAGGGGTTCTAGCTGGTCTAGGATTTGTGCATCAGAAGCTTCCCATTAATTAAGAATTTGTTCCCTCATTGTAAGCTATTATATATCACGTTTTCTCATTTTAGTTAAACTGTGGCCAAATTAGTACAACGTGGCCATAATTTAATAAAAAGAGGAAACAAATTTTTAATTCGTGGCCACTGTATATAGCTATACATACAATGTTAGTATAACACATTACAATGAACGCAAGTTACGTAATCAGATTAGAGTTACTTTTTCAAATACCGTATTGACCCGAATATAAGACGATGCTTTTTTCTTGGAAATAAATCTGAAAAAACACGGTCATCTTATATTCAGGGTCTAGACTTTGACATGTCAATAATACACCCACAACAATAGGTGGCGCCAAATACGCATAAAACGAGTGTGCCATGAAATACGTAATGTAATGCGTGTTGTAAAGATCGCGAGTAAAAACAAAAGAAAAAGAAAATGAGTCGTGACTGTCACGTTAGCCTGATGGGACCAAACTCCCTTTGTGATTTTAAAACGTAAGACGGTACCCAGATTTGAAGACTACTGTAAGATTTAACTTCTACTGTTAATAAGACCCCCCAAAAGTGAACCGTACCAAGCTGTACCGTACCATGCAGTGGAAAAGCACCATTAGTGTCCTAATTCAGATGGGCTACCTGTTTTTTTTTATAATTTTTTTTATGGTATATCAAAAAGTGTATATTTTTTAAATATGATTGTTGGTACATTTTACCAGTTTTTACCATACTTTCAAAACAAAAATTAAAATAGGAAAAATATGCAATATGAAAATAATTGAAGACAAAGTGTGTTTTACTGAGAAAAAATACGATTTGGTTTTTAAAAAGCCTTTTTCCAAAAGGTACATCTGGAAAAAGGGGGGTCGTCTTATAATCAGGGTCGTCTTATATTCGGGCCAATACGGTAATATGTGTTCCAATACTTTTGTCCATATAGTCGCCACAACTTACATATAAGCAGATAATGTTATCTTTATAAAGCATATGCCCTTCTGAAGGAGAAAGTAGTCCGTAACACAAACCAAGACAATGGCCATCGTTGTACAAAACAAGATTTAATAAGGAAACAAACACCCATAAATAAGAATACTAAGGCAAAGGAAGCCAAATACTCAATTAGGACCAAACCCAGGAAGAATTTACCAAGAATTTCTTTGAAATGTGTTTGTTTTATTCAGTTATCCTCCACGTGTTGGTTTAAACTGGACTAATTAGAACTGGTTTGGATTCTAGAATGTTCCGAATTCTCTAGAACTAGCTTTCAGTGGAGTGTCAAGTTAATACATTTGTTTCTTTCTTTACCCGGTGTTATACAACTCAACATACAGCAGTTTTTACACTGCAACTTCATAACTTTTCATGATACCATACTGAAACATCTTGCAATACTGGGATATACTGAGAGAGAGCCAAGAGAATTAAGAGACTGTCAGATTTTTTTAAAATTAATGCGCTTCTGTGAATCTCATGAAATGTCCAGGTCACATTTTAAAAAGCTGAAGGAATAAGAAATTATATTTTGCTTAAAAATAAAGCCTATCGATTTATTAATATGACAAGGAAATTAAATTCTCTCCTCAAGTTCTCATTACCGTAATAAAGATATATCATTTAAATTCCAAAGTACAATTTTAATCATGCATTACGGCGTTGTGTGTTACACTGAAATTATGTTTTTAATAAAAAAAGGACAGGATAATAATTCTTATTGTATTATGGTATGAGATTTGTACACATTCTGATAAGAATTTGAGAGGAAATGTGCTGAAACGTCATGAAAATGAAACCTGTTTTAGGAATATTAATATTTGTTTGCATTGTGATGTAATTTTACACCCAAATTATCATTATAAAAATGTATATCATATTCAAAACGGTAAATAATGGTATGTAAATGCTATTTTGAATAAAAAAAGCACAGAAAATATATTATTACTGTATCACGGTAATGAGAATGAGATTGTAGCGCATTGTAATGAGAGGACAATTAAGCCAATTTCACAAATTCTCATTACCGTAATATATTAAAAAATATTTAAAATTGCAAATATGCATTATGGTAGCATGTGTTAAACTGAATTTTTTAATTTGTTAATGAAAAAGGATGTAAAAATGATCATTAGTTGATGAAGGTAATGAGATTTCTGGTGCATTACGGTAATGAGAATCTTTTCTTTTTTTGCATTACAATAATGAGAATTTGGAGAAAAAATGTGTTTATCACGAAAATGTGTCAGAATGCAAATCTTAATGGCTTCATTTTATTAATGCAAATTATAATTTTCTTTCTTTCGTATATATATGTGAATTATGACCCACACATTTCTTTTTCAGGCTCATGAAAATAGGATATTTTCTTTGCATTCACTCTGAATGTAGAAAAGAACTGAAAATCGCTGGTAATTCTGTGCAAGCACATTGGCTTTCATCGGTTTGGTGCTAAGGCAATGAAGTATATGCAATAGAATCAGCACTGGACCGCCAATAAAGGAGAAAAAAAAACGGGTAGTCAGAATTGAAATTCACATTGTGCAAAGTTGGGCTGATTGCTTTGTGAAGCCAATACGAGTCAGTTGTGAGTGCGAGCAAACTCACACACACACTGCATCAGTAATCCAGCCTGAAGATCAAATCCAGTCCTGTCCGGTTCTGGAGAAGCCTCAGATGTGTCAGTATGAAGGTCAAAGGTCCCGTCGTCTCAGGATATCGAGGAGAACTCCTTCAGCAGGACGTCCCGACTCATGGTACTCAGAGACACGTTCTTCCTCACGTTCAGACTGATGGAGCGAACCTGCAAACACAAGCATCTGTGCATCAAAACTAACTCGTTTCCTGACGGAGATGCGTGTGTGTGAAGCTAGTCATAAATTCACTCCACATTCAAATTTAACGCAGCAGTGAGTTCCTCAGGGCAGAGGGACTGAGCTCAGAAAAAGAAGAACTGGGCTCATACGGAAATGTTCAGCTTTACAATATATATTAAACAGACAGTATTTGGACTGTTGAACACGTGTTATATATTTGCACATCATGTAACAGATATGTTTATTAAACCAATAATTGAAATATGCAAGAAATATGGTCATATTTGTGCAAGGTTATAGAATTAAGACCTATAATTATTAATAAATTCAATAAAAATAATGATTAAAAATAACAATAATAATAGTCTCACCAAATATGAATAGGGCTCTATGAAATCAGGTTTATTTTACCCCGACATCAGTGTTTTTCTTTTTAATTTTTCTGGATTGTATTTTAATTAGGACGTTTAATCAATTGAATTCATAGAACTTTAGCAACGTATTAATTTATTACAATTAGAACAATAATATGAAATGAAATGCCCTATGATTTATTATTGTTGTTATTAATTGTTAGTAGTAGTATTTTATAGAAATTCTGTTGTTTTATTTTCCTGCATTTTGCGTTTTATGATTTATTACAAATCTATCAAAAACAATGTTAATGAAATTAATAATTAAATACTAAACATTTTACAAATTTTTGAAATTTGAACAATTTTGAAAATGCCGTTCAACAAAGATTTACAGGTGAAATTAAAACATGGATTAAAATGTGTGCAATATCGTGAGATATTCCTTTCAAAATAATGGTTTAACAAACTGTATTATTATTATTGTTATAATTATTATTACTTTGAGAAGTACATTCTACTCTACAGTAGTAGCATATTTCTGTCATCATTTTTGGTTCACGTTAAACTGAACGTTTATGTTGCTGGGTTGTAGCGGAGACCCGTTTGTGTGCATCCGATGAAAGTTTTCTCAAAGCAAACGGTGAAGTAACTCCCAGAGCATCTCTGGAGATGAAGTTTCACTGAAATCCACCAGATTCTGTGGCGTTCTGCGATTTCGCCCAACGTTTTGTCGTCTTCTGTACCATTCAACCCATAGTTAATGTAGCCAAAGGAAGGAAGTAGCTTGTCAAGCAAACTCAAAAGCTTACCAGCTCCTTGAAAAAGCCGGCCTCTCTGGGCTGCTCAGAGTAACGCTCAAACTGATCCAGACCGTCCTGTAGCTTCAAGGTTAGCGTGTCGTAGTTCGAGCGCACCACCTCCAGCACCTACAGATAAGAAAACGACATAAAACCCAGACACAACTACAAGAAATCTTCCAGGTTTAAGACAACAATGCACCGACAGAAATCCACTTACAATGAAAGACTCTGGCATATTATCTGTTTTATAACAGTGGTCCTGAACTGAACTACAGGAACACATTTAAACAGCTAGTGGAGTGATCACATGACTACTGATATAGTAGTCTATATATATCTATATATATCATACTACAAATATGAACCACCACAACTGGCACAAGCTCTCTGTTGATCAATTAAGATCGGTAGTAGTTTGCAAACTTCACATTCATCTTTTAATATCTAACATATAATATTTGCTTACTTGTAGTTGGTCAAATACAGGAAATGGACCAAAAAAAAAAACCGGTTTGTCTCTGCGTTAACATTTGTGGTTTTATAATTTATATTTTAGAATTTCAAAATGTTGACTTTTAAAATCATTACATTTTGTTTACATTACAAATGTTATGAAAAACTGCATTTTGTCCCTGTATTTAAAAAAAAAATTAGCTAAATATAAAAAATAAGATCAATACAATGGTATTTTATTACATTTTAATAAGTACTTTAAATAATATTTAAATAATGTTTTCTGTCAATTTACCTTAATATTTAGGTAGCATTTTTTGTGGATTATTTTGGTATATGTTTTACTAAATGTAATGGTATTTTACTACATTTTAATAAATATTTGACTAAAAATGTAATATTTTTGAAATAGTAATATTTAAATTTATTACATTTTAATAAGTACTTTAAATAATATTGAAATAATAATGTTTTCTGTCAATTTACCTTAATATTTAGGTAGCATTTTTTGTGGATTATTTTGGTATATGTTTTACTAAATGTAATGGTATTTTACTACATTTTAATAAATATTTGACTAAAAATGTAATATTTTTGAAATAGTAATATTTAAATATTATTATCTGCCATTTTACCTTAGAAACATTTTTTGGTAGATTTTTAATTTTAAACCGTTTAAAAAAAAATTATTATTATTTTTTTCATTAAACGTAATGGCATTTTAGTGCATTACTACTTTGATGAATATTTTATTAGAATGTAATTGTATTTTTTTTATATATATATATTTTCTGTCATTTTACCCTGGGAAAGATATTATTTATTAAAATAATTTATTATTTTGACTGATTTATTATTTTAATTTTAATTTTTTTTTAATAAAAATAAAATCACTCTAATTAAATGTATTTTATTACATGTGACTAAACATTCTATTAAAATGTAATTATATTTTTTAAATAATATATTTCTGAAACAATTATAATATTTCCTGTCACTTTACCTTGAAAAAGGCAATTTGTGGTTGATTCTTTTGGGAAAAATGTTTTGGTAGATTTTTAATTTTAAACCGTTTAAAAAAAATTATTATTATTTTTTTCATTAAACGTAATGGCATTTTAGTGCATTACTACTTTGATGAATATTTTATTAGAATGTAATTGTATTTTTTTTATATATATATATTTTCTGTCATTTTACCCTGGGAAAGATATTATTTATTAAAATAATTTATTATTTTGACTGATTTATTATTTTAATTTTAATTTTTTTTTAATAAAAATAAAATCACTCTAATTAAATGTATTTTATTACATGTGACTAAACATTCTATTAAAATGTAATTATATTTTTTAAATAATATATTTCTGAAACAATTATAATATTTCCTGTCACTTTACCTTGAAAAAGGCAATTTGTGGTTGATTCTTTTGGTAGATCTTTTAAAAGAGACTCCCAAGTTAGATTCTGAAAGAACTCAGGGAGGCTTAGACACTCCTAGACCCCTTGCAAACTGCAATTGTCTTTCTTTGTTAGTACGTATTGTTTATTTCTACAATATGAAAGACAAATCAAAACAGTTTTCTGTGGCAATCACGGAAAGACCTTGTTTCAAAGAAGCGTTCCCACAACTACAAGCTGTTTGAGGTCACATTGTGCGCAGTAATTTTAAATCGAATGGGTCTGGAGTTTACCTGGGACACTCCAGGGCATGAAAAGGGCTGATGGACCACAAATCCCCAAACTTAAACTAAACTAAGAGCGGCTGGACAGAGGTCTGTTAGAGGGCATGCGGGTGCATCTGGCAAAGCGAGATAAAAGAGACGAGAGTTTGGGACTGCGAGCGACAGCTGGCACAACCGTCTGTAAAACTGCCCTCACTTCCAGCACACGGCATCATTACCCTACAGATCAAAGGCTAATTAAGCAACACCTGTGACCGTCCCAATCAGCCGCTTTCCTACACACATATACGGAGTTTTGCTCATTCAGATTCAAAACCAATTCTCTCATCTGACAGAATTGAGTTAAAGTCGGGCGATAAGACTGTGCCAAAGTACACAGGTAGTTATGCAAAAACTATGGGTGCATGTAGATGCATTCAAAAAAAGCTAACTATAGCCATTTTACTCCAAAAATGTAATTTCCAGCATAAAATTAATGATAATCTGAAATGTTGTGGAAATTACATTATACTGCTCAGGTTGCTGTACAAATAATTATATATGTTTTATTATTAATCAATTATAATACATTCATATTATTACAATAATGTTACTATTATGAATTAAATACATATATACATGGGTCAAAGACGTTAAGATGTCCGCATCAAAAGAAATTTACAAAAGTGATTATATGTCCATAGAAAGCACATTAAATGTAAGTAAAGTGTCTACGTTTAAGGTTTCAAATAAGTTTTTGGAGAATAAAATGTCAAAATTTGGTTGAAATAATGTTACGTTGTTATTCAGTGTAACACAATAATTATGTAAAAATTCAAACATGCTTATTCGGACGTGTACATATTAAAATATATAAAAGAATAAGAGAGCATATTAAAATGTATTGCGTTTTAAATTAGTAAAAATTCTTACTGACAAACGGGCAAAACCTAGGATAGTGGCAAATTTAAAAAAATGTAAAATAACAACTAATTAGTATTTGGGGTGAAAGTAATTAGCTTTTTAATATGTCAAATTGATTTTTGTTGTAAATATGCCTGACAAGATTGTTACACTGAATGGTATTCTAGTGGGTGTCTTCTGTAAATCAGGGAAAAATGTATGATGTTTATTTTTTGCTCAGAAAAACAAAAACAAAAACAAAAACAAAAATACAATTACATTAAACAGAAAACTTTTTTTTAACGTTTTTTTTGTGTGTGTGTGTGAAAAACAACAATTTAAAGCAGTATTGTTTTTATGCTTAAACCCTTTTTTGTCTTTGACCTATATATATATATAATTTTTTTATACTATATACACCATTAAAATGTTTGGGGTCAGTAAGATTTTAATATTTTTGAAATAAGTCTTCTGCTTTTTTTGGTTAAAAATACTGTAAAAACAGTAATACTGCAAACATTATTTGAATTTAAACAGTTTTCCATGTGGATATATTCATTTATAAGATGTAATTTATTTCTGTGATCAAAGCTGTATTTTCAGCATCATTACTCCAGTCTTCAGTGTCACATGATCTTCAGAAATCATAATAATATGCTGATTTGCTGCTCAAGAAACATTTCTGATTATTATCAATGTTGAAAACAGCTGTGCTGTTTCATACTTTTGTGGAAACCAATTAACTAAACAATTAAATAAGAATTAAAATAAATGAAACGTTCAAAAGAACAGCATTTCTATGAAAATCTAAATCTTTTATAACATTATAAATGTCTTTACTGTCACTTGTGATCACATCCTTGCTAATAAATAAGAAAATTACATCTAAATTACGCTATATTACAATGAGGCTAAAAGTTAATGTTCTGTGCGTAAACTCATTAAAGTCTGTTAGAACGTAAGAGATCAAAACGTAACATGACTGTGTAAACCGTCCATCTAAACCGTTACCTGATCTTCTGAGAGCTGTGAGATGTGGTTCACAGCGGCGTACGACTCAATCTTAGGGTTGAAGTGGTTAATAATGGCTCTGGAATTACAGAAATGGGCAAAATTAGGTATATTCTGAACATGTGACGGGAGCTTCACAATAGAGTTCCTGTGTGAGAATAAAAGGTAACGTTACAGAGAACTTTCAAAGGTGTGGCTCTTTTAAATATTCTGCAGTAATGCATGCTGCAAAAAACCAGCGCTCGACTTCTTTTGTGCGGCACAAACACATGGTGACATCTCTGAAAGCCCGGAGAATGCTTCCACATTACCTCAGACTCTCAAATCAATAATTAATTCACCACCAGGCCCCTCGCACACTAACCGAAACAAAGACAAAAACACCCACTTCACTAAAGCTGTCCAATGTTAGTCACAGACTTCAACAAAACCACTCAAACTATGATTATGATCTTTCACCATTTCACCCATGTTTGAAATATAACTGGCATGTAAATGAAAGCACACTGTATAAATTAGACTGTATATTTAGTATGATTTTTATTATTGTTTGCTTGTTTATACATTTAATGCTTTTTATAATCTAACTCGCATACAAAGAAAAAACAAAACAAAAACAAACAAACCAAAGACACAAAACAAAATAAAAACTATCTATATATAACAAAATATAAAATATATAATAAATAACAAAATCAAAGGAAAAAAAAAATAATCAGAACCAAAACTAAATAAATAAAAGAACAAAAACCTCAAACCAAAGAAAAGAAAAGAAGCAGAGGAAAAAAATAAACAAAAACAAGGACAAAAAAAAAACAAGAGCAAAAAAAAAAAAAAAACTATAAATAAGAATAAAACAGTAAAAAAAAACAAAAACAAAGGGGAAAAACAAAAAAAGAAATCAATAACAAAAATAAATAAAGCAATTAAAACCAAATACAAATCAAAGGAGTAAAAGAAAGAAAGAAAGAAAGAAAGAAAAAGGAAAACAATTTTTTTTTACCAAAGCTATCAAATGCTAGTCATAGACATCAACTATTATCATCTTCCACAATTTCACATATATAACATCTTTATAAAATAACTGCCATGTTACCTGAATTACATTATATAAATCACCTATATATTTAACATTATTTTATTATTAATATTATATAATGCATCTTATTTCAGAATACTTAAAACCGATAATTTAAACAAAGAGTGCTATAAATCCTCTCATTGTTTATAGTGAAAGTGATCTAGAATGAAGGTGAATGTGAGCGCTCTGACCTGACGTTGACGAGAGCCTGAGTAACTTTACTAGCAGGCTCCTTCCACTGGCCTGCGTTGGTGGAGACTCGCAGCACTGCGGCGTCATGAAGATCAGGTTAGTGCTTTAGTGATGATGGATGAAAATAAACATGCACGCAGCAGGACTGAGCTCGGGCGACTTACCCATGCAGTAGAGGTTATCAAACACCTGATGCATGCGTATAATCTCATAATAGAGCTCGTCGTAACTATATATATATATATATATATATAAAATATTTACTATATATAAAACTAAAATGAAAATAAATAGCAAACCAAAAAGCGAAAAGACAAAAACAAACTAGAAACAAACCCCAGAACACACAGAGTGACACACAGCGCCTGTGTTTTGCTCAGACACACAGCGTAAGATCATACCTGACCAGAAGTCTCTCCACGTGTAGTGCACCCTAACTCTGCACTTCTTCTGGTAGCAGATCAGTTTGTGGATTATCTGAACGCAGCGTCTACAACAAATGACTGAATTCATTCTCACCATATCCACATATCCATCATCTCAGCACCGCAGTATTTACAGCTGCAAATTAAAAGGAAACTCACACGTAGAGATCCATAGGAAACTCCTTCATCATATGAGTAACGATGAACTCGACCATCAGATCTGCAAAGACAAAGAATACTCACATAAACGCTCACAGAACGATAAAGACGCCACTCAATCTGATCGCAAAACTCACCCAGAACCGCACAAACTAAAGGCCGAGAGGGGATGCTCTTATCCGCCGCTTTCTTTCGATGCCTCATGGGCTGAAATGCATAAGAAAAGTGACTTCACTCAAAGCTACAAGTCCAAACAACACTGGACTTTCATTGCAAGGACTTCATTTTTGGATGAAAGGTCCCTTTAAGACTGGCCAAAGTGCACGATCCTGCTTTCATGCGTCTAGATAACTGGATTTACTGCATCAGCAGTGAGGCTCTGGGACGTCCCATTTGGTAATGGATTGGCTGTAACACGGGGCCGGGCAGTTTGCTGCTTTATATGCCAGAAACATCGTCTTTATTTGGATCCTGCCATTTAAAAACAACTGAGACCTCAGCAGGGAATCTTACCATTCTGTGCAAGTTGACCCTGAAGTTCATGTTATCATCGTGGAGAAAGGCGTCGGCGTACTGGTCCTTTAAAACGGACAGCGAGAGGACAAACGGTCAAACAGTGAACGAACGGAAAAAATAAATAATTACCCACAATGCATTACCTCGGCTATGCAGGTCAGAATGATGAGGCAAAGCCTGGCACTGTTGAGTCTGTGTTCATCTGAAAACATACAGAGGAAAACTACTGTAAGATGTGCACAAAAAAACGAAGAGAAATAAATGGCTCCGTTCCAAATTCTAGTGAGCTCCCTACTTAGGCAGCATTTCAAGGCACTTTGGCATAGAAGCTTTTCCAACATGTAGGTAAGGTAATGCCGCCTTACTTTCTTTTGTAAAAATTAAAAACTGCATGCATCCTTTGCAAAGAACTCAATCCCATAATGCATTGCAACAAGCGCAAAAATCCAAAATGGTGGACAAAGCAGGAAAAATGCTGATAATCTAATTAAAAATGGACTATTTTAGCTAAAATGTGCTTCCTTTGTGTTTTTATGCTTATAAGAGTATCGTGTTATTAGCTTAGCGACATGCTAATAACAAACTCCACTAAAGTCCATAGCGAGTCGAGGTTCTGTTTGACTTTGGATGCTGCCTTAGAAGGCAGCTGCCTAGGCAGGAGCAAGGAAGCTCGCTAGGTTTTGGACAGCACAGAGGAGAGAAACAGTGATAGCTTGCCTTTGGTGTCCTGCATTACGATGGAGGAATACTTGAGGAAGGTTATAAGAAGATTACTTGTCTGCAGGTTTGGGTCCAGAGGAAGCTCAGGATTATTCATCACTGCAAAGAGAGAATGCAAGTGTGGTGAATCATTTCTGAAAATGATCATTCGCCCCAATTTGCGTACCTATACTACACACTAAAAGTGCATACTTCGTTTTGAGAAAGTCCACACGGTAGAGTATGTAGCAACACTCAAATCACGTCTTGACAACACAGACCCCCCCTTTTTGTGTTGCTAGCATATTAGCATTTAGCTGAATTCACGTCCATCATTATCTAAGTTCATTACTTATGTGGGAGTGTCACATAAAACATTTTTTAACTGAAAGATTCAACAGAGATCCATCACTTCAACTGCACAAAAACTGAGCAATATTAGCCAAAAAATAAATAAATACACTTTTTTTTTTGGTACCCCGTTACTATAATCTTGTACTATTTAGGTTCCACTCACACTAAGAATGATAACTATAATCATATTCACAGTCTGTAAAGTCATGTGGATTCTGATTGGCTTTCAATGCTTTTATGGTTCAAGAGCTGGAAAAAAAAAACCCTTCTGAAAGTGAATATTGCATATTGAAGGATACAGTATCTACCGTTATAGATATCGTTAAATTAGAACGATTATTAAAATGTTACAGTTATTGTTCAATTAGAACGATTATTAAAAATGTTACAGTTATTGTTAAATTAGAACAATCATTAAAATGTTAGTTATCGTTAAATTAGAAAGATTGTTAAAACCTTACAGTTACTGTTCAATTAGAACAATTATTAAACATTATAGGTATTGTTAAATAAGAACGATTGTTAAAACGTTACAGTTATTATTAAATTAGAACTATTGTTAAAACGTTATTTATTGTTCAATTAGAATGATAATTAAAATGTTACAGTTATTATTAAATTAGAACTATTGTTAAAACGTTATTTATTGTTCAATTAGAATGATAATTAAAATGTTACAGTTATTATTAAATTAGAACTATTGTTAAAACGTTATTTATTGTTAAATTAGAATGATAATTAAAATGTTACAGTTATTATTAAATTACAACAACTGTTAAAATGTTAGTTGTTAAATTAGAACGATTGTTAAAACATAATTGGTATCGTTAAATTAGAATGATTATTAAAAACGTTACAGTTATTGTTAAATTAGAACGATTAATAAAACGATATAGGTATCATTAAATTAGAACGATTATTAAAACATAATATGTATTGTTAAATTAGAACGATTATTAAAACGTTACAGGTATCGTTAAATTAGAATGATTATTAAAACGTTATAGGTATCGTTAAATTAGAACATTATTAAAACGTTACAAGTATCGTTAAATTAGAACATTATTAAAACGTTACAGGTATCGTTAAATTAGAACATTATTAAAACGTTACAGGTATCTTTAAATTAGAATGATTATTAAAACATTATATGTATCGTTAAATTAGAACGATTATTAAAACGTTACAGGTATCGTTAAATTAGAACGATTATTAAAACTTTACAGGTATCGTTAAATTAGAACGATTATTAAAACGTTACAGGTATCGTTAAATTTGAACGATTATTAAAATGTTATATGTATCGTTAAATTAGAACGATTATTAAAACGTTACAGGTATCGTTAAATTAGAACGATTATTCAAATGTTATATGTATCGTTAAATTAGAACGATTATTAAAATGTTACAGGTATCGTTAAATTAAAACGATTATTAAAACGTTATAGGTATCCTTCAATTAGAACGATTATTAAAACGTTACAGGTATCTTTAAATTAGAACGATTATTAAAATGTTATATGTATCGTTAAATTAGAACGATTATTAAAACGTTACAGGTATCGTTAAATTAGAACATTATTAAAATGTTACAGTTATTGTTACATTAGAACGTTATTAAAATGTTACAGTTTTAGTCCAATTAGAACAATTATTAAAATGTTACTGTTTTTGTTCAATTGAAATGCTTATTAAACATTATAGTTATTATTATATTATAATGAGTATTAAAACGTCATAATTATCATTATAGTTATTGTCCTTTTTGTGAACAGGCTATAAGTATATTGTGAATGTTTCCCGTGTCATCCTGATTACAGATGATTGAGCAGGAGAACACGCCACATCCACCACGGGAGCTTCAGTCTGCCAGATCCGAGTGGATTTAATATTTCATACAGCTAATGGATATCAAGTTTTCAAAAGGTTGCAATGCAAAAAGCAGCATAAAAGTTAAACGTGTTTTAGAGGCAAATGTAAGAGTGGAGTCGGTTTAAGGAAGTGAAATGCCAGCTCTACAAAATAACAGACTGGAAGTACAGTACGATTCAAAGGGTCATTTGCTGAACAACAGCTGCTTGAAAATCTCAAAGCGTTTCATTATTCAAACAAACCTCACTTCTGGTTACTCATACGGAGCATGTATTTCTACTTTAGTGTTCTGCAGAAGAAAGCAGGTCATGTGGGTTTGACATGAGGGTGAGTGAATGATATTTTAACACTAGTTACTCACTGTCCAGAGAGGGCGGTGTGGTGCCCAGCGGGGTCAGAGGAGAGGCTGGGACGGGCACAGCAGGGGTTGTTGCGATGTCAATCTCCGGATGGCTCTGTGATTGACAATTACAGATGCAAAGATAAACCATAACCATCAATATAAGTATAGATAGGAGAGGCCTAATAATATATGCATATGTCAGTGCGCAAAGATAAATACAAGTCATTGTGCAGTGCTGACCTGTGCAAGAACTGTGATGAAGTTTCTGTTGAGATGCACGGCCTCATAGAGAGCGAGCAGGATGGCTTCATTAGTCCTAAAGGACAATAAAGTCATCAGACATGTGGAGCATTTGATTTAATAATACAAGGATGGACATTTCAGGATTTGATGACTGCTATTATGCGCTGGAGACTTATGGGGCTGATCTGACCTTCAAATATATATATACACTTCTCTTCAAAGGTTCGCTTTTTTGAAAGAAATTAGCACTTTTTATTCAGAAAGGTTGCATTAAATTTATAAAAAGTGACAGTAATTACTTTTAGAATGTTAAAAGGTAACATTCTGTTTCAAGTAAATGCTGTTCTTTTGAACTTTCATTGCGGAATCATGTGACACTGAAGACTGGAGTAATGATGCTGAAAATTCAGCTCAATCAATTACATTTTAACATATATTACAATAGAACACACTTCTTTTAAATTGTAATAATATTTCACAATATTACTGATTTTACTGTATTTTTGATCAAATAAAATGCAGCCTTGATGAGCAGAAGAGACTTCTTTTTTTTTTAATCTTACCAACCCCAAACTTTTGTAGGTTAGCTGTATATTAAAAAAAATCCAATCACCTATTAAACTGTTTTAATTTTTACTTACTGCACTGACAGCTTCTCATCTGCGTCAGCGATAAACATACTGCCCACCTGCAGACCAAAGCATGATTATGATAAATATGTAGCTGCAAAATCACTCAAAAGAGCAGCGTGAACATTCTGCTAAATTTCTTCTTTTGTGTTCCACAGAAACAAAAAAGTGAAACAGCTTGGAAAGACATGGAGGGCCCTATGATTTCTGTGATGTGGAAAACGCGGACGGAATCGCGGAATCTAGTCATAAAAACGGAATTTACAGTATAACGCAGAATTCTGCACCCATTTTGGATGGATACATGAAAAGTAGGTCAGAACACTTAGATCAAAACGCGATATGCACTAGTGTTTGTTAATATTAAGCCACAAAAATGTTTCAGTTTCTTTTGAGTAAAACTATCGTCATATCATATACAAACAGAAACGATCTTAACTGCAACCCGTCAAAATAAAAGGTCGGTTTAACTCGGAAGAAACTGTGACAGAAATATATTACTTAATGTAATGATAGTACTACTACTACTACTACTAATAAAATTATTATTAAAACATTATTTTTAAAGGAATATTTACCATAAAAATTATTTACCAGAAATTTTTTAAAGCAAAAAATGTAAATACACAACTGTATTTCTGGGAATAAAAAAATAAAATAATAATTCAATTCAATTCAAGTTTATTTGTATAGCGCTTTTTATGATACAAATCGTTGCAAAGCAACTTTACAGCAAATTAAGTTTCTACAAGATTTAGTAGTAGCTTATCAGTGGTGACTGTCAGTTTATGTACATATGACAGAAATGTACGGAAAAATCAATTAAAGACGTAATCAAACAGACAATGAACATTATTAATAATAAATATATTTTTTATAAAATTAATTAATCATGCTTTTGATTATTAATATTTAATTAAACCATTAAAATGGAATCCAGAAAATTAATGGAAAACAAAATTTGGTAAAAAAAACAAAACAACCAAAACTAAAAAAAAATTAATTTTTGTTAAACTTTTAATAAATTGCTGTTTAATATTGTACATTTTGGGATTTCTATTAATTAGACATGCTTTTTGATGAACAAAATTTTATTTAACTATTAAAGCAGAGTCTAGAAAAATAAAAATGGGGGAAAAAAGGAATCCAAAAAAATTGAAATAAAAAAAAAAGGGAATCCAGAAAAATTGAAATGGAAAAAACAAAAAGGAATCCAGATAAATTGAAATGGAAAAAAAAATCAAATTTGGGAAAAAATAAAACCGATTTCATAGGGCCCTAGACATGAATAAATGCTAAAAGAGTTTTATACCATGCTGGTGAGGGTGGAGAAAAAGCCTCCCTGGTTTTCTTCTTCTTTGTCTTTATACTGTCTGTGGAAACCAGATGGATCACATTAAATCTTTCACACACGTTTCTTAAAAACAAACAACAAAGATTGCCTGTCACCTATTGTACTCAGCAAGTGCGTGGTGGATGACCATTCCCATGCCCTGTGAAAAGATCAACTATATTAGACCTCCACGCGACTCAATAATACCTTGAATTTCAAGAATCTCCCTAACTACTCACATCCAGGGTCGGCTCGTCGTCCACTATCGACAGTTTCACAATATAAGGATTCACAGACTACAATTAACAGAGGAAACAATGAACCTTGCAGAAATCTTACAAACAATGCTTCATGACTAGAACGATATATTACATTAGTACAAGCATCACACTTACCTCATACTTCCTATAGTTGACCAGCAGAGCTAAAAGTACCACAGCATCATATCCGTGCTGCGCTCGACTGGAAACCTCAGACAGAATCTGGACAAAAAGAGGCGAATTAAATGGACGACATTATAATGCACAGGTAAAATCGAAGACACATCACAGTTTTTACCTGTAGAATGGCCTCAAATATACTGTTGATCATCACATACTCTAGTATGGTGTTCTGACTAATATTATCGGTCACCTGCAAGACAAAAAACACATTATAAACACGTCAGAAAGCATCTGAAAAAAAGGATAGTGTCATGTGAACATATAAATTTTAAAGGAATAGCTCACCCAGAAATTAAGGTTTGCTGAAAATGCCCTCATTAGGGCTGCAAAACGATTAATCGCAATTAATCGCATTTAAAATAAAAGTTTATGTTTACATACTATATGTGTGTGTACTGTGTATATTTATTATGTATATACAAATACACACACATGTATGTATATATTAAGGAAAAATGTTTAGATTTGTATATTAAATATGAATATTTACATATAAATGATATACTAGTACGAATATATATACATACAAACATTTGTTAAAATATATACATATATGTGTGTGTATTTATATATACATAATAAATATACACAGTACACACAGATATATTATGTAAACAAACTTTTATTTTAAAGTGATTAATCGCGATTAATCGTTTTGTAGCCCTAGTCCTCACTCTCAGGCCATCCAAGATTAGGATGAGTTTGTTTCATTACATCACTTGCTCACCAGTGGATGTGAATGGATGCCGTCGGAATGAGAGTCCAAACAGCTGATAAAAACATCACAGTAATCTACACCACTCCAGTCCACCAATTAATGACTCAAGAAGAGAAAAGCTGTGTGTTTGTAAGAAACAAATCTATTATTACATTCAAACCATTGCTTCTAACTAAAATATGAGTCTATAATCCATAATATTGTTTCCTCCAGTGAAAAAGTGCATCTCCTGTTGTCTCTCACATCAAAATCCACCCACATATTTGTTTAGAGCCGTTTTGGCCTGTAAACGCTGCTTGATCTGTGCAGATTTCTCTCCTGATTCAGACCAGACCACTTGTTCACTGGAGGAAGCGTTATTATGGACTCGTGTTTTAGCCGGAAGGGACGGTTTGAAGCTAAAAACGAGTCTCAACGATGTATTTATTTTTTACAAACACAGCTTTTCACTTCACAAGTCATTAACTGATGGACTGGAGTGGTGTGGATTACTTGTGGATTATTGTGATGTCTTTATCAGCTGTTTGGACTCTCATTCTGACGGCACCCATTCACTGCAGAGCATCCATTGGTGAGCAAGTGATGCAGTGCTACATTTCTCCAAATCTGATGAAGAAACAAACTCATCCTAATCTCAGATGAGCTGAGGGTGAATACATTTCATTTTCATTTTTGCATGAACTATTCCTTTAAGTTCTGTTGCTATAATTTTGAAATCGTTGCAATTGGTGCAATGACACCAGGACTCGACTGATTTTTGCTCGCTTTTACAAACTAAGCAGCAAGCGGACTACTTTACTATGGAAGTGAAAGTGAGCAGATTTGTACAAAAAGAGTGCAGAAGAATGAATGCACTGATCTTACAGTGACCAGACACAGCAGTAGTTTCAGACACAAACTCTTCAGACTCTCTGATCCATCACCGCACAGCAGACTGTCCAGACTCTCCATTAGCTCCTGTGTGCACAATTACACTGCAGCTCAACTCTGCATTCAATAAAAACGTCCAGATCATGTGCGAGCGGGACAAACGACTGACCTTCATTCGGAGCTCAGCTTTGTCGAAGCCCATCAGCATGTTGATGATGTCAAAGCCTGTGGCGGATTTGTTCTTGTGGTGAACTCCTCGAAACAGCGCACAGAGAGTCTACAGAAACAGACAGGAGGAGCTTTTCTTGTCTTTGTCATGCTCATTCAGATCTTTAGGTCAAAAGCAACTGTTACATTTTCTGAATGCCAACCAGTAATTGAACGTAGGGTGTGTCTGCAAACACAAAAGCTGACTTCACAACTTCGGTTTGATGTTTCCAATTGAGTATTTGTAAGCATGTTTATTTAAAATAAAAAAGAATATATATATATATGGTGTAAAGAAAATTAAACTTCCAGTACTGTTCAAAAGTTTGGGGCCTGTAAGATTTTTTGTAATGTTTTTGAAAGAAAGTGGTCTCTTCTGCCCTCCAAGGCTGCATTTATTTGATCAAAAATACAGTAAAAACAGTAATACTTTGAAATACTATTACAATTTTAAATAACTGTTTTCTATGTGAATATATTGTAAACTGTAATTTATTCCTGTGATCAAAGCTGTATTTTCATCATCATTACTCCAGTCTTCAGTGTCACATGATCTTCAGAAATCATTCTAATATGCTGATTTGCTGCTTTAAGAAACATTTATTATTATTATCAAACATTAAAATTTGTTTTCAGGATTCTTTCATCAATAGAACAGCATTTATTTGAAATAGAGATCTTTTGGAACATTATAAATGTCTTTACTGTCACTTTTGATTCATTAATGTGTCCTTGCTGAATAAAAGTAGTAATTTCTTAAAAAAAAAAAAAATAAATTAAAAAAAAAAACTTACTGGCCTCAATTTTGAACGTTAATCTATTTTTACACTATTATTATATTTTGTAATGTTATGACAACTAAGTACATTCAACCCCATAATTATCATTACTGTAAAATAAAATAAAATACAATATTTTTTTGTAATTCTATTATTATCAATGGTTAGCCTTATTAGATTCTTAGATTTTCAATACTCTATATATTAAAAAAATCCTACACAGACACAACGATTAAAAAAATTAAGTAGTTCTACCATCATGTATAAATACTTAACCATTTAAAAAGTACATCATTATTTTTTTCAAATTGCAGTGATGAAAATATATAATTTTTTTTTTTCACAAAAATGTTTGTAATTGACATAAAAAAATAAAAAAAAAGATTCATTTTCTTTATATTAAATCTTCTGCGATGAAGCACTAGCCAGACATTGATTATTCGGAGCATGACTTGATTATCAGATCATGTTCTTTAGTAACGCAGGAAGCATGATTTTACCTGAAGCGCATTGACTACTTTGATCTGGTGCTCCTCAGCCAGAGCTTGAACACAGTGATGGAACAAACTGTTGACGTTGTCTTTGATTTTCACGACTTCATCCCCGTCCAGAGACTCCAACTTCCCCTCCAGATACTCCAGATTGACCTGCTCAAAGCACACAGATCAACAGCATAGTCCACGCACTCATAAAACAGCATTTCACGATGTGTATCTGCCACGGACCTTCATCAGAAACAGCTCATCCCAGAAGCGAGGATTGTTCTTAGTAGGGTCTTCCTTCTGATGGGAAAGAGCAAAAACGGTGTTTACAATCTATACTTGCACCAACATTACATTTAAAAACATGTAATAGTTCACGTAACAGTATACATAGCAAAGTTTTTTTGTTTGTTTTGTTTTTAGAATAAATAAAAAGAAAATAAGTAGAAAGAATAGAAATAGAATATAGAGTGCTAGAGTTAGAGGGTCAAATGAAGAGATGTGTTTTCAGCCGTTTCTTGAAAATATCAAGGACTCAGCTGCTGGGATTGAGCTGGGCAGGTCATTCCACCAGGAGGGAACAGTTAATGTAGAAGTCCATGAAAGTTTTATCATAGGTAGAATGCAGAATGTTTCAATACAAGCATTTCAGTCAAATGTAATTTATGCAATATTTCAAACCTTTAACCCACTTGGGAAAATCAACCCATGGCAACAGTTTAAAAGTAGCCCAATTCTGTGGAAAAAACGCGGACTTGGCAACCCTGCATCCAACAAGAGCTACCGGAGTCAGCTTTGACTGAACACAGGTCGAGAATAAGGAGAGATGACTGACAAGACCATGCTGGAGTATTTGCTGCTTAACAGATCCTGAGCTCTTTGACAAATATCTAATCTTGTAAGATGTGCTACCTTTACACAGAGTGCTGTGTGATCGCTAAATCGAAAGTGAAAGTAAACAGCGCAAACGCTCATTCAAAAATATGTAAATACACCGCATCCTGAGAGCGGCTCCCTGATGCGCCAAAATTATACACAATATTAGAATGGAATTAGGAGTGGACACGAAAATCGCGGGAGCGAAACACATGTTGCGGGAGCAGGCGACAATGGTCAGAGGTTCAGCGGGAGCGGGATTAAGAAAACAGCCGAATCCCGGACATTTTGGACAATTAAGAAATCCCGGACGGACGCATTTTTGTAGGTCCAAAAAGAGGACGTATGTCCGGGGAAAAGAGGACGTATGGTCACCCTAACCATTGATAATAATGAAATTACAACCCAAAAGTTAAAATACCAAACTCTAAATTGCCTAAACTTTTTTTTATTTAATTTTATTTTACAGTAATGATAATTATGGGGTAAAATGTACTTAGTTGTCATAAAATTACAAAATATAATAATAGTGTAAAAATAGATTAACGTTCAAACATTTGAAGCCAGCAAGCTTTTTTTTTTTTTTTTTTAAAAAAATTACTACTTTTATTCAGCA